TTCTGCATGCATGTATTTTTTAGTATTATGATCAATACAGTGCTTTATATAATGTATTGGGGGTTGTATGTTGCTGAATTTCAGCTAACCCCTCATGTTTTCCCAGGAAATATATGTCGCCAGGGAGTACAGAAGCCTGCACCCAGTAAATTTTGCTGCCTATAATGTAGACAGTCTCTGTTGTTACTTGAAATTATTTCCTTACCATAGAAATGTCAAGGGAAAGGTTTATTATACTGTAATGCACCTATCAATGTTAAACCGGAGGGGGTGGGCGAAGGTGGGGGATTTGAATTTCAGATAAGGTTTTTTGTCAAACATCCCATACTACACAAGTTCTACTGCTTCAAATTGTATCTAAATGTCCCTATATACTGGCAGGTTTTCTTATTCAAATACCCGCACCAACACTCGGCCATTTTAAATTAGTTTACGTGTGACATGTTCAAAGATATTATATAGAACTCTTTATTAATATAAACAAAAATGGTAAACAAAATGTACATGTTCAATGTGTTAGATCATGAGCGAAAACGTCAAAACGAACGTGAATTTGTTTTATACCTTGGGTAGTTTCGCCATCTTGCAAAACCTCGTGCTCTCAGATTTGGTGACCAGACTTCTGCGCCAACAAGTGATCAAATGTCCCCTCAAGCCAGAGCTGCCACTCTCAATAGCCTATTTCCACCTAAGGCTAGTACTAAAATCCCCTACTTTTCCCTACAAGTCAATGTGTAATTTTCCCCTACATTCCCCTACGTTCCCCTACAAATATCGCATTACTTGAATTATCATCTACGATACAGATGTTTCCAGTTTTTAATATAACGATAATATATTCTATTTATTAAATTGCGCAAACCTTAACAAAACAAAACCACAAACTATTACTCAAAAATTCACTCAAATTCACTCAAAAATTCAAGAAATAGCGAAACATTCTTCTGCACTAATGCACTTGGATGAATATTTAAGTTGTTGGGAAAAATCCTTAGATTTCCTTAGATTTTTTCTCTTCCTTAGATTTTCCTTTTCGACACTAGAATTTCCTTAGAAAAGGAAATTTCCTTGAAAATGGAAGCACTGTCGTGGAGACCGGAGACGTGGAGTTATTATATCACATATTCCAGTGCTTCCACATTCAATTCAAATCTAAATTTCTAGTTGTTTCCATGAAAAATCATGATTATCCTGCAGTTCAATAGTGCTAGTTCCATTTTGTAATTCATAATACCATAAACAGACACACAATTTTTTTTTCAATTCAAACCGTGAAGAAATCCCCTACGCTCCCCTACAGATTACCCTTTCTCCCCGTAGGTATTCCCCACTCCCTACAAGATGTCATAATCCCCTACTGTAGGGGAATCCCCCTACGAGTGGCAGCCTTGCCTCAAGCACAGATGAAGTATATACCAGATGCGTAACTTAATAGGAATTCGTGTCCCCAAATTTCCCTAGATGTACACGTCATGCTCACGCCATGACACTTGCTAGGAAGATGGCGTCCTGGAAAACATGAACTTTTGCATTTTATTGCAGCTTTCTTGGATCGAAATTTATGGATTTAACAATCGATTCAAGAGCATCATTTCTTGAATGTTTAAAGTTGTTAAAAGCAATTAAAGTTGTAGAAAAGTTGTTGAAAACATTTTTGAAGGCAATGACGTACTACCAAATGACGAATAATCACGCGAGCGACACTTGCTAGGAAGATGGCGACCATGGGACAACTTTTTTACTGAAGTTACACATCTGTCCTTACTTAATCTATGCCTCAAGTCCCCACAGATCACAGCATCTTGTCAAATGTCCCCAACCTCAGGCTTGTGTCATTGAGCCAATGTCCGACCCTGGGGATGGCATTTGTCGTCAAATCCCCCCCCCCTTCGCCCGCCCTCCCTCCCCCCCCTCCGACTTTACATTGATAGGTGCATAATTAAACCATAATGTTTACACGATATTCTTTGTTTGTGATCAGGGGTCGAAATTCCTGCTATTCCGCTATTCCGATTATACTAAAATGCCTGACGGAATAGTAAACTTCATGATCACAGTATTCCGCTTGCCAGATGATCTTGATACGCGGAAAAGTACTGGCACTAGTTGTCAAATAGAAATCCATTTTATGATTAAAACAACTGAATATCTCCTGTAATATACTTTATTTCGATTCCATATTTTTGTCAGAGCTATAGTTCTCATAAGCAAACATAATTACAAAATTTCAACTAGTTTCATAAAGAATAACGAAAGATATAATTGACTGAATACATCAAAATGGATTTCTATCCGGACAACCCTTTCTGAGCGCTGATTGTTTAAAATACGAACACGAGATCACCTGGCCTGTATAGTAGAAAAAATTGTGATACCAATTATCGACAAGCAAGGGTTTTCCTCTTGTATAATATATCATTTTATACCCGACTTTGAGCCACTGTTCCACTTTGTAGCTAAGTACTTGCATATTCTAATTTCTTTGCTGCAATATTATTGTCGATTTCAAGTCACTTTTCAACGCGCGGTTCCCAAATTCATTGCGAAGTTGCCAATTACGTTTCCAAGTTCGGAAATTGGGCGCGAACTTCCCACCAAAGTTCACAAGTTCATTTCAGTGTTTGAACTTTGTTTTTTATTAATAATTCGTTCATCACTGTACAAAGCAATGCACTGTACATGTTTATTTTTTGTACAGTGCATGATTTCATGAAAATCAGAACATTGGCGCGGACCCTGCATAAACAGGCTGTCAGAAACAGTACATTAAGGAATAGCGGATCTTCAGACGGAATAGTAAATTTCTAAAATCTACTATTCCGGCTGTATAGTACAAAAAAATTTAAATTTCGGCCCCTGGTGATGTCACTCTGAGTGTGCATCCACACCGTGCAAGCTGAAACGTTTGCCTGACCATGGTGGGAATCGAACCCGCGACCTTTGGGATACTAGTCCAATGCTTGACCTCATAGCTCAGTTGGTAGAGCAATTGTACTAGTATCCCAAAGGTTCCGTTGTGGGTTCGATTCCCACCGTGGTCAGGCATATTTTTCAAGCTTGCCTGATGTGGATGCACACTAGTAACATCACAATCATATTCACCTGAGTACCATATACATAACACCAATACACACAAAAAAGTATGATGTTCTTTATTAAGTGTTAATTCTTTAATTTAATTATTAAGTGTTTTGGACAAAATCTCAAAAACAACTGTCCAAAATAGTTTGAAATGCCATTTTAAAAGGTCTATATTTCAACGTCTTTGGGGAAGACGATCTCGGACCCCTAGGTGGTTGGTACCTTTGGCACTGCATAGAGCCGCCTACTTCTTTCAAAAAGCTTCCTACTCCAAATTTTATTGGGAACCGTGAGAGTATGTCTCACAAAGGTTCACATACACAAGGCCCTTGTATCCCTGTCAATCTGAAGTTCCATATACAAGCAGCTAAATTTAGAAACTGCACTGATCCACTATATGAGTGATAAGATGATGTCTATTCTAGAAAACATCTGCAACCGCTCGCCCCCCCTCCCAATGGAAGAAACTTAAATTTGACCCCTTTCCCCCCATCCTAGTACATTTTCAAATGAGATGTAGATTTCCTTGCACTTGACTTCTTGTCTGAGACTGTCAAACAAAGTGAAATACTAAAAGATTAAATGGTTCAATTTTACTTCTTTACAGGTGCAACAACATACCATACCAGTAACGAAAGTGGTTCACATGGCTGGGTCGCGCATGAATGTATTGACTGGGATGGATTGTACTCTGATAACCCTTCAGATACACCATTACAACTCGGGTGGAAAGAGAAATCAGATATCCAAGTTGCAGGCATGTTATCATTTTACATCTTGACCAAAGGAAAGCATCCCTTTGGTCCGAAAATAGCACAAATGGTGAATTTGCATGAGGATAATCCAGTGGGTTTAAGAGAGCTCAGTGATCCTGTGGCCAAAGACCTGCTGTCTCAGATGTTGGCTCAGGATCTAGATAAACGACCATATGTGGAGCAAGCCTTGAAGCATCCTTACTTTCTCTCTCTCGAAGAGCAGATGAAATTGGTAGAAGCTGCGGGCAACGAACCTAAATTAATGAGTTACTGTGGTGTTTTCAGACAGCTGAACAACCTTGATCCATCCAAACCTCGAAGTCTGTTGTTACCAATTGACTGGAAAACAGTGATTGGCCACGATGACCTCAACACATTGTGTAGAGGAGGCCGCTCCCCGTCAACCTATGGTGGTAGCCGATATACCGATTGCCTTCGATTGATACGAAACACATTTCAGCATCGGGATGGCAAACTGGGTCAATTGAAAAAGAAGACATCGACTACTTCTTCTCTTGAGGAATATTTCCTTCAATTATTTCCTATGCTCCCACTTGTTCTTCATCAAGTAATCAGACAGTATCCCGACTGGAAAACACTCCCTGCCTTGAAGGAATTTTTTCCTGAGATAGACCGTCGTGCAGTATCTGATGTAGACTAAAGCATACACAATGTGTCAGGTTAGTATATTTAAGGTTTTCATTATTCATTTATTACCATAATATGGATTCATCTGAATGGCAACATTTTCGGTCAACTGGTTAATGGATAATAAACCACCATTTTGAAATTTATCACATATTGTGTCAATTAGGTGAG